CAAGATTTATATATTTGTTTTACAAAGACCTACTTTCTCCTGCCTGTTCGGCGAGGCCAGATGAGCCGCTGAATGCAAAGTAATTAAAATGAACACAGAACAATACGCGAGCCCTCCGAAGAACGCGGAGTTTCCCTTTTATGTTTATAGCAATTGTATGAAAATGTACAACACGGAATGGCAACAGCTGACAGCCGAGATGAAGCAGACATGATTGCGAGTTGGCTTCCTCCCGCAGCTGATTGGCATTAATTGTGCGCGTTTGCAAAGCAGAACAGAAAGTCTGACATTAGCTTCAAGCGAACGTTTCTTTCTAATAGTCTTAATGATTACGACGAGCGCTGATGATCATTGCGGTGCCGTTAGCGGCGCTGCGCCGGGCTGTCCCCGTCCCTAAGGGATGCGTGCTGTGGGGCTGCCCCACATCCCAACCCGGGTGCTGCCCACGTGGTAAAGATGGGAAAGCAACGTGCCAAGAACCTCCGACCCGGTGCCTGTTATTAAAAGCTGACTAATTAAACCTAATCCAAGTTTTCATCGCCGGCTCTTTACTGGGCTGGGTGGTTTGTTGGATGCCCTTTGTGATGCTCAGCGCACGGCCATGACATGCAGGACTCTCCCAGCCCCGACCCATCTAGGTTTGCACTGAATCATGGACATCCATCAACCACGTGAGCACGGTGCCATGGGGCACGGGCATCCAGCTGCCCTCCGGCGTGGTGCAGACGACAGTGATGTCCCCTGCCCTGAGTCCTGAAGCTCTGTGGGCTCACACCCCATAAACCCCACTTATGAGCAGATAGGAAATATTCACAGCCCTTGCTTTATCGGCCATTCCCTCGTAAAACCCAGGGCTGCCATGACAAAGTAGGGCTGCTTTCAGTGTGTCATTAATGGGCACAGTGAGACGTGGCCCCAGTGTCACCATCCATCAGGTTGGGTCCTCCCCAGCCCCACATCCTCAAATGCAGCCCATGGGCACAGCCACAGCTCCGGGCTGTACCACCTGCACTGGCTAACACTTTGCCAGGCTCAGGGAATTCCCACATCCCTCAATCGTTCCCAAATGACAAGAAATCAAGGCATGAGCCCCTCCTCCTTTCCTTCCCCCCAAAAAGTCCGTAAAGAAGAGCTATAAAAATGGCTTGTTATCTCACCTAGCGCGGCTCAGACTGTATGTTATTGCTAATTGGGTATAACATCCTTGTCTTGTTCTGCTCTCTGAAGCTAAATCAAGAAAGCACCACTGCTGCGAACTAATTATATCTCTGGACTGCAGACTCCAGCTTGTCTTTCCCTTTATTGAGTTAAAAAATGGTCACTAACCTTAATCTCTCATATCCCCAAGCATTAGAGCTACTGAAAAACTACTGCTTCCCCCCAGTCCGTTTTGGGAGAGTCAGAGCACATGGCCGGGGGGGCTTCGCCTGCTCCTGCTCACTGCTGCTTTTTGGCTTTTTCTTCCCAAAGGGAAACTCGAGCTGCTTGCAGGATGGCATTTTTTTAAGCTGAACACTGGTGTGATCGCAGCCACAGCCCTGCAAGAATGGCAGCAGGAGCAGCACCAGGAGCAGAGGGGGCTCATCACCAGCTTGTGCCTGTCCACTGGGATGTCCCCTGCATCCCTGCCCCCATAGGGCCACATCCACATGGGGAGAGAAAAACCAAAGCACAAATGCCATGCACAGCCACTGTGCTGAGCTCAGCATAGAGCCAGCCCCGTGCCCCATTCTGGGGCAGCCCATGCAAATGCTGTTAATTTCTCTTTGAAAAGCCAAACTTGGGTTCTCTCCCTCTTCCATGAGCAGTATGAATATTTATCTCTGGCAGCTAAATCTCTCCGCTGCAGGGTATTAAGGCTTTATTCGTGTTTGGTTACTGCTGATGGTAAGCCAGCCCTCACTCCAGCCTGCAGCACGACCGAATGACCCGCAGAAGGCAGATGGTGCAGGGCTGGAGCATCCCCTGTCAGGGACGAGGAGCCGTGTGCCCCAGCTTTACACATGGGGGCAGGGCACCCAGCTCCACCACAGCGACGTGCCCCTCCTCACCCCAGCCCTGCCATAGGTGCTCATGGGGTGCAGCATATGGGATGAGGCGTGCTTGTTGTTTGGGGTGAAAACGTTGCTCTGTTCTCTCTTGAGCAAAAGGAGTCCCAGGGGCTATAAAAATTCCCAGCAGGCTCTTGTCAGTCTCAGGTCATTAACTTTCTTTCATTGGGAGTTTGTTTACAGGCAGCCATAAATAGCAGCGCCGGTGCTGAGCTCGGGGTCGGGGCTGCGGGCAGCAGCAGGGCGCAGCACCCCGGGGTGCCCACCAGCACCCTGCCCCGCGCCCCCATATGGCACCTGCAGTCCCCAGCCGCCCTCCCACTCACCAAACTGTCCCCAGCCACCCCGTGTCCCCGCCAGGATGGGGACAAAGGACGAGCGAGCCCTGCGATGCGCCCGGCGTCTCACCAGGCACTGCCCTGACCTCATCCAACGGGAGAAATTAATTACCGAGCTGTCGTCACGCCACGGCGGGCTGCTGGGAGTGCAGTCACCAGTCGCCTCCCACCCGGCGGGTCTGGGCGTGGGAAGGCTCTGTGTCCCCAACCCTCCGCATCCCCAATCTGCCGTTGTCCCCAACCCAGAGAAGACCTCGGAGATCCCCCAAACCCAACCCACCCCCACCATTGCCCGCTGACCACGTCTGGCAGTGCCACATCTCCACGTTCCTTGAACACCTCCCAGGACGGTGAGCCCACCAGGTCTCTGGGCAGCTGTGCCAATGCCTGACTGCTCTTTGGGAGAAGGAATTGTTCCTAACGTCCAACCCAGCAGCCCCATAGCGGTGTGTGAACGCACCGGGTGCAGCTCTCACACGGGGACGTGGCACCATCCGGCAGCACTTGGCTGCACGCAGACACCAGTTAAACATTTACACCCCATCCCAGCACTGCAGCCAACGGGGCTCCCTGGAACTGCGAACCAGGAGAGGAGCACGGGGTTCACCAACCCCAACGGTTTTGGGGTGAATGGATGCCACCAGCACGGCCTGCACCGGCCCATGGGCTCACCTCTGGGCTCATTCCATGGGAAAAGTCCACAGCCACAGCCAGCTTGGATGGACGGATGGAACCCCAAGGACACATCACAGGGATCGATGCGCTGCTGTCCATCCCTGCACCAGCACCGGCCCCAACCCCAGCCCTACGCTCCCCCACATCTGGGGAAATATCTGTATTTCCAACCTCACGCTCGCACAACCTGTAATCAGAGCAACACAAATAGCCCCTGCTTCCCATGTAAATTAAAAACACCCATTAGGCAGATTTCAAAAGATGTCAGTAGGCTTATAATTATACACGACATCCTTCCGAGATAAAAGCGATTACCGGGGATGCAAATCACTTAGCAACCAATCAGTGCCCCCAGAGTGCAAAGCACTGACCAGCCATCCATTTTCGCCTCGTCCTTTTATTCCCTGCATCGAGCAAATACAAACACAGATAAAGAGAGGCACAATAGCTCTTGACACGCAAATAGGTTAACATAATAAAGCCAGCTTTAGCCGGCTCACTCGAGGGAGAAAAGCAATTCTCAGGCAAGCAGGAGGTAATAAAACAGGGCTTTTGTGTTCCTGGCTCCCATTCTCACCCCTGCGCCAGCTTTGCTGCATTAGCTGATAGGCATCGCGGTTTGATTGAATTACCTTTCATGAATATTAGCTTTTTGAGGAATGCGCAGGCAGAAGAAGAAGAGAAAGAAGCAACGTCTTATTCTTGCATGCATGCATGAGCCCGATGCAGACGGACACGCACAGAGCCGGGCTGGGAGGAGGGGGGGAGGGAAGGGGCTGGGGGTCCCGGAGCGGTGACCACCCCCGGTATGGGCAACCCCAGAACTGGGGGCTCACGGTGCTCGGCCCCACGGATCTGAGCTGGGCAGCCCGGTGGTGGGAAGGGGCACGGCGAGGCCTTAAGGCAGCCGTGGGCACCAAGAGGTTCCCACCACGAGGATCCCACCGTGAGGACCCCAACCCCGATACCTTCCAGGCTCTGGGTACGGGCACAGCACGGCGTGCCAAGGTCGGGTCACCCGGGGCTGTGACTTTGACGCCCAGCAAGCTGCACCTTGCTGCAGGCAGAACCGAAGCGCGGTGCCCAGCGGGCAGCACTGATGGGGACAACACGGGGACACGGCTGCCACCACCGCGGGAGCCAGCAACACTCATCCAAAGGCTGCAATTAAAATCCAGCACCGAGCGATGCCAGCTCGTCTCCGCTCAGCCACGATGGGCCAATGGTCCCCAATACAGCACCGCTCCATCCTCGGGTCGAAAACCCACGCGGAGCCGCTTCGATTGCTCACACGGTGCTCGGCTGCGGCGGGGCCCACGGTGCAGCCCGTGCTGACCTACAAACGGGCAGAGAGCCTTGGGATCCACGCACGGAGCATCGCTCTTCCCCCGCTCCACGCAAGGTCACGAGAGGACCCCGAGTGGGGCTGTTTTTGGGGTGCCCGACCTCCACACCGCCAGGGGGAGGCCCCGATACTGAAAGTTTGGCTGGGAAAGGGGGAGGCAGCTTCCACCTGCACGGGGAGAAAGGCGCTCGGGGGGGTGGGAGAGGGAGGTATCACTGGGATGCTTTGCTCGCCTGCACGGCACAACCCCGCTGCAGGGGGACGGAGAGGCGCACAGCCGACGAAATCAGCCACAAAATCAGCGCGAGTGGTTCCCAAAGAAAGGCCGAGCTCCTGCCCCGACCACTTCGCACCCACGGCCGCCTCTACACACCCTATATATACACGTGCGCACGTCCGAAAGCTCCCTGCGCAGACAGCCCGACACGGACAGACACACCGAACACAACCTCCCGGCTCCGGGGCATTGCAGCGGGGGGGGTGGGGAATCCTGGGCTCGGCTCCGGCCCCGCAGCATCGGGGTATCCCCACCCCCCCCGCCTCCATCCCGGCCCCACCGTGCCCCCCAACCCGGCTCCCGTCCCCCGTTACCGTCAGAGAACGATCCGGGCCGGCTCCGGTCGCTGCGGTGCGGGGCGCTCCGGGCCGCCCCCCCCGGGCCGCCCCCCCCCGTGCGCGGCCAGTGTGGGGAGGGGGGGGGTGAGCGAGCGGAAAAACCACGGGAAGGTCCGAAAAATTATAAAGAATAAGGTCCAAATACGGGGGAAAAAAAAAAAAAAAAAAATACGGTCCGGATGGGGAAAAATGGTCCAAAGAGGGAAAAACGCGGTCCGAATCGGGAGAAAATACGGTCCGAATAGAGGAAAAAAAATATATATATCAGGCGTCCAAATGGGAGATAAAAATATTCAAGGTCCAAATAAGAAATCGAAAATTTAAAGGTCCAAATAGGAAAAAAAAAAAAAAAAATTAAAGGTCCAAATAGGAGGAAAATAGGAACAGACGTGAAGCCGGTTCACAGGGCGGAGGGAGCCCCGGGAGCGGCGGGCGGCGGGGCCATGGCATCGCGGTTCTCCTCCTCCTCCTCCTCCTCTTCCTCCTCCTCCTGCCGTCCTTTGTGCGCGGCGCCGGGTGCCGCGGCCGCTCAGCGCTCCATGGCGGCGGGGCCGGGCCGGGCTGTGCGCGGGGCGCGGCCCCGGGGCGCTGCTGCCTCCCTCCCGCCCGGCGCGCGGCTGCGGCGACACTGAGCGCCCCGCGCGGGGCCCGGCGGCCGCACGCGGCTCGGCCCCGCCCCCTTCGGCGCGTTGCCGTGGAGACGCCGCCGCGCGTCCTGCGGGGAGGGGCGGGGCTTGGCTGCCACGCGGCTTTTTTCGCGGGAAAATTCGAAGCGGGGTCGCCGCTCTCCTTTCCCCTCCCGGCGTTTGTGGCGCGGGACTACAACTCCCGGCGTGCCCCGCGCGCGGCCGCCGCGCTGATGTGCGTTTGGGCGCCGCGGGGCGCGATGGGAGTTGTAGGTTTGCTCAACAGGTGCGACGGGGACTCGTCATTGTGGGGATCCCCGTACCGGTACACCTTGGATGGCCGCCCTCACGGTGCCACAGCCTCCGTTTTCTTTCATAAGGTGCAGTGTGAAATCACACAGGAAAGGTCAGTCTTACCCCACATAACTTGTTCAACCCCATGCCCTGTTCAAGGCTGTGTGCCCTTTTCAACCCCCCACGTTGCCCCACGACCCCTCCCCATGCAGGAGAGCCTTCTGTGCCCAGCTGATTTCCACGTGCTCCTCCAACATCTCTGCGTGCCGCAGCCATCCTCTATTTGAGGGCACAAGCACTGCTTTCCCCACTCCCCTTCACTTGCACTGACTGCTCACTCGTTGTCTCAGCACAGCAAAAGCTCTCCTTCATGCTGTGTAATGTCATCATTGTAGCACATCTCCCGGCTCACAGCCATGAGATGGGCACCATTCCCCTTTGCCAGTTGCTCTTGGTCCCTAAGATTTTGCCTTTATCCCAAAACTCATTGCCTCAGGGCAAGCCAGAGCTCACTGTCCTTCTTACTCCTCCAGCTCCTCCTTGCCCATCTGGGGGAGTTTCAGAGGGTTTGGGCTTCCTGCAGAGCCTTCCCAGCCCCTCTGGTATTTGGGTGTATGGAGTGGAGCTGGGAACGAGCAGCACCCATCCCCACTCCTGATCCAGCAAGCACTAAAGGCTGAGAAATTAAAATAATAGCTAGATATGCTTTCAGGAGAGTGATTCCTCTGTGTAATTACAATACGTATTATCCTCCCTGTGAAAATACATTATATTGAATAAATTCCCTCTTTGAGCGGGGCTATTCATACTATTCATTTGTTTCAGTTCAAACATTTTCAGCTCGTCGATCTGGCAGGTCCTCGTGCAGAGCTGGAAGTTCTCTGCAGCTTATTTATCTGCTCGCCATGTTGCAGTGCGGGCTGGAGATAAGAATAAAGCCATTATAGGTTTGTGAGCGGAGCTTAGATTTTTCAAAGATAATTTAATCAAAGCTATTAGGGAGTCAGAAAGAAAGATTGCTTTTTTATTCAGCCTAAAGACGAACCTTCGCTCTGCTTGGGAAATGGTGGGGGCACTCCAAGTCGTTCTCAGGCACTTGAAAGGGTGCCAGGCTGGATGTGGCTCCGGGCAGCCTGGTCTGCTGGTTGGTGACCCTGCACATAGCAGGGGGATGAAACCAGATGATCATCGAGGTCCTTTTCAACCCAGGCCATTCTATGATTCTGCGATTCCAGGGGAATGGCTGACGGTTGGATTGCATGAGCTTCCAGGTCTTTTCCAACCTTAATCATTCTATGAGGGGACCGTTGGCTGGTCTCCGAGGGGTGGGAATTCCATTATGCCATTAGTTCTGACCTCCTCATTTACATCCTTTTAAAAATACATCTACATAATTCATTTATTTTTTTTTTTTTCCGGGGCAGGAGCGCTTTTGTGCCACCGCTGCCAAAGGAGAGAGATTTCTGAAAGTCCTTCAGCCTCAGCACAAATAAATAATGCATCGGCCGGATCGGCGGCGGAGCCCAAAGCCCTAAATCCCATCTGCGCGAGGCTGATCTCATGGCGAGGTGCACAGCCCCGTGATCAGGGAGCTGACAGTGTCCCTTTAATTTAATATCATTATTTCTGACTGGTGCGAGCAATCCGAAGGGCTGAGCGTTTTCATCTCTCATTGTGACAAATACGTGCTGTAATTCTTTGACCAAAATGTCAGTCTGCTCGGGAAATGAGTGGCCCTCAGAATGAGAAAGATTTCCAGGGGATTAAAACCGGGCCATTACTCTCTGGTTTAAATGCATTCAAGGCTCTGAAAGCCTATCTGCTTTGGTTCCTTTTGTACGAAAAGTTATTGACTTATCAAGGTTAAAATACATTCAGTATGGTCCAATAAAACAGGGATATCTCAGCATTCATGCTGTCATTTGCAGGTCCGTTTTCATGGCAACAGGGCTCTTTTCTGCACATTAAACGGTTCAGTTGTGCAAAGTTCAGACATTACATAAACAGAGAGGTAACAACAAAAAAAAATCAATGAGCTCATGGGCATGGAAAAAGGAGATAGCATTGATTGGGGCCGGCATCGATATTTGGGATCGCTGGCTCCTGCCCTGCTCAGAGTCCTCCTGGACACAAAGGAGAGGCTGAAGGACACCAGGGGTGGGCTGCGCCTCCCTCCCGTTAATTAATGCACCTCGTTATGGGCGGGCAGCGCCCACCCCTGTGCCACCTGGCAACTTTAATAAGGTCACATCCACTCTGTATGCTTTGAGAGCTCCTTGCTCCCTGTTTTGCTGCAGGGGGGACATTTGGGGTCCTTTGCCCGGGGGACAGCTCTTGTCCATCTCTTGTCCATCCATACACATGGCACATCCCAAGGCAGAAAACACCTCTGTCCCCAGGGAAAAGCATTCCCATTCATTTCCAACAGCATCTTCAAAGGACACCAGCCCCATGACAGCAAAAGGTCCGTGGCTGTAGGGCAGGGAGGGGGCACGGGGATGATGGGTGGTGGCATTCTGGTGCCATCACCTTGTCTCCATCCCAGAGGTGGTGTTGATGCTGGGTGGATGGCAGCAGGCTGTGCGGGGCACTGGGGCGAGTGACGTTGATGCTGATGGGAAATGTCAAGCTTTTTGCTTGCCGGTCTTGGGGGCTGAGAGAGATTCCAGCATTCAAATGCTCTTTAGAGGAGAGGCACCAACATCTGTTGGGGAAGCAAATGGAGAGCCGAGAATGGAGGGGAGATGGCCATGGGGCAGCTGAGTGTGAAGGAGGAGGAGAAGGAATGGGGAGGAGGAGGAGGTAAAGAAGGGGGAGGATGAAGGAGGATGAAGGGGGAGGAGGAATAGGAGAAGAATGAAGGAGGAAGAGGATGAAGGAGGAGGAAGAGGAAGAGGAGGAGAAGAAGGAGGAGAAAAGAGCAGGAAGAAGAGGAGGAAGAGGATGAAGGAGGAGGAAGAAGGAGGAGGAAGAGGAAAAAGCAGGGCAGGAGCAGGGCTTTCCCCAAACTGGGGGATTTGCCACCCTATACTCCCCATCCAGCCATGGGCTTGCTCCCTAGCACCCCCCACATCCCAAATGTCCTCAGCAAAGCCCAAGGAGAGAAACCACTTCCATCCTGTTCTTTGCTGAGCCCCAGCAGCACCCCAAGCACCAGGGGTCAGCCCAAGGTCTGCTCCAGGGTACAGAAAACCCCAATTTAGGCAAGAAGACACTGCAGGATGCACATCTCTATCCAGGCTCCATGTCCCGAGGCATCTCCGTGCTGGCACCGGGGTGCTGGGGGTCAAAGAGGCAGAAGCTCATGTGCTCTGTGTTTGTCCTTTTCTTCTTTCCCACCCCCCTGGTTTATTTATAGATGCTGTGAGTTATTCATCTGCAACAAATCTCTCTTCCAGCCAGGTCCTGGGGCAGCCTGCATTATCTCCCAAGCAGCCACGCATCACCTGGCACGTTTTCCATGGGGGCATCAGCACTTGGCACCAATAACCCCAATGTGTGTGGGGAGATGACTTGTCAGAGCACAGTCCTGAGTGGGTCCCCAGGACACTGGATGCAGATTACCTCCACCACAACCTGTGTCCTGGGGGTCCGCTTAGGACCGTGCAGAGACAGAACAGGGATGCCGGTGTATTTCCCTTCCACCTGATTCGATTCTCTTGACAGTCAAGAATTTAAAATGATTTATTAAAAATGTATAAAGCCCGGTTGTTGGTGTCTCTCCTCTTGATAAGAGCATTGTCTCCCGCGCCGCTCCCGTGTCAGATATGCTCAGCTTTGGTTTATGTTCCCCTCACTCAAACCGCTTCTGAAATGACATCCGTGCTGGATAAGAAGGATCCCGCCACTGTGCATATTAATTTTCAGCAGACTGCCTCAGGCAAACAAATTCAGACTTCAAGAGTCATTACAGCTGATCCGCGACCTCTGGAAAGGCGGCGGCTGTGGGTGATGCTGACATGGCGTGAAGGAACCCATGCTCTGCCCATGTCCTGCCCATGCCTTACCCATCCTTGCCCATCCTTACCCATGCCCTTCCTATCCCTGCCTGTCTCTGCCCATGTTCTGCCCATCCTTGCTCATTAGATGTCTTTTCCAACTCTAATTATTCTATGATTCCACATCCTGCCCATCCAGGCCCAGCCTTACCCATGCGCTGCCCGTCCCTATCTGTCTGTCTCTCTTCCTACCCATCTATGCCCATCTCACTGGGTCCAGCCCCACTCCCCCCCAGTTTATTCCAATGAGATCAGGAGTGGAAGGAGCCCATCCCCATCCCATCCTGTTTGGACGTGGGATTGCCTTCCCGACATCTCGGGCACTGCGAACGCGGCAGGAAGATGAATGAAGATGTATACAGCATACGAACAGCTCTGTCCCCATGTGATATATTCCAGCCTTCAGCCATAAATCTGGTTATGGAGGCTCAGAGCAGAGGGCAGACAGAGGCAGAGGCACCAGCATCCTCAGCGCAACAAAGGTCGGGGCAAGCACGAGGTTGGGCTCTGGAGGCTTCAGACCCTGGAAGGATTTATTAGAAAGAATTTGGAAACCAAGGAAAAAGACTGGGAACCCTCCATCTGTGCACCCATCCCGCTGGTTCCTGAGATGCTCCATTCATTTCTCTTGGGCAGTGATTGCCCATACAGTGG